GACCTACTTACCACTGGCTATCGTGCAGGTCACGGGTTCAACTCCAGGGAACTGTGCAGATACTGTACACAGGTAAGCTGAGGTCAAGGGATCGACCCCTGGGATCTGCATCGGCTACTGCCAAAGGTGAAAACTGTTTCACTCTATCCCCCTGCTGTCTTCTCCTAATGCTTAATCCTCTTTCCCTGCCAGTGCAGCTTCGCCCTCGTCAAAAAGGAGTATGGTTGATGATAAAATCACTGGGAGAGGGAGGATACGCGCGGTTGTGACATCGAAGGGATTGCCAAAGTTGAAGGTGATGTCTAACAGGGGAAGAAAATCGGAAAGTCAAAAAGGCAAAGTAAGCAAGGGAAGGAAGTTACAAAGACGACACCTCACCTGGACCATGATTGTTATAATGTTTGGAAATGATGGAGTAACAGCGAATGAAGTTAGATAAACACAATATGATTGACAATGGTCTTGCAATAGATGGACTGGAAGACGGAAAGAAAGATGGAATTGTGCAGAAGGAATAGCAGAGTCGTACTGAGAATCAGCGAAAGCAGTACCAACCTTCAGACGAGCAGCGAGTTTAGCTACAGCATGTGCAAGGACACCACCGCCTCCTTGCGGAAGGAAAGCTAGTTCCTTTAATGTAGGCCTTGACGCCTCGAACTGCAGAGGTGACCGCAGACAGAGCCCGCAGAAAAGGATAAGTCCACAGCGCAAAAATACACGACCAACAACATTCAGCAACAAATTTGTCAATAAGAGTGTATTGAAAATCCATGCATAATTGCGATTTCAATGTGTGACCGATTGGTGTTCGGCGAAATAACAAACACCACACATGTAATCTGCTTCACACACATGTGAAAACATGTGTGACAAACTGGCAAATCGTTAAAATATTAGGGAGGAATAGTACACACATGTAACTGCCAATGAACAGATCTTGGGCTCGAATCCTGATGGAAACAGACAGAACATTGAGAACGATAAGCTTAGGGGCAACCCCCTTTGAAAAAGCAAAAAGTTCCAAAAATACAAAAGACAAAAAGTTACAAAACAGTATGCCAAGCACGCGTTTGTAGTTCTTTTTCTGTTAAAAGACAGGCTAACAGAGAGTTGACAGAGTCTTCATTTTCCCCTGCTAGTCAGGGTTGCACCCCCCGACGGTCGGCGGCCCTTGACTGGTCGGCACCTACCGGTCGGGGGTCGTCGGCACCCACAAAACAAAAAAAAAGAAAAAAAAAGGGGGTCCAGAACCCCTAATAACACCATCAACACCCCCATAGCGGCCCTCTTTACCCCCATACACCCCCCCAACAGCCCCCCCAACACCCCCAAACCGCCCCCAACACCCTCATTACCCCCCCCAATACCCCCTTATATCACCCCCATAGCCCCCTATATACTCCAACCCCACCCCCCTCATCCCCAAAAGTTTCTCAGCGGATTTGGGCTGTACGCAGCATGCGCAGTACAGCCCCCAACTCAGATTTGAAAAAAAATCAGTGCATGGTTGTTTCCTGACTGGTCGGCAGACCGCCGACCGGTCGGTCCTACTGGTCGTCTGCAATACGGTCGACGGTCGGTGGTTGGCAAGGATGCAACCCTGCGGCTAGTCTTAAAGTGAAGCTTAGTGAACGAATGCGACAGTGAATGGATTCAGTGTAACCCCAACCAAAGTGCGAAGTGCACACCGGGGCAGGTTCAAGTGTTAACCACCAGTACCCCGCTCAGGCGAAGTTGAGAATCAAAATTGGTTTGATGCAGATAATTTCTGACGCACTATCATGCACAGTGTTACGGGTCTAAAATTGCTCGCGGTGCCCACCAAACAAGAAAAAACTGCACCAGTGGTGGTTCATTTTTCTTTGGCGCGGAGTGCAAATCCGCCACAGCAAAAAGAGGCTTGGAGGTACAAGGCCACCAATAGATGGAGCAGCCCGGGAAGTGCTAGCGGTGTCTGCTCTTATCAGCACCCCCAGGCTTTTTCCTTAGCCTGCTCCTTGGAAGGTTCCAAGTGTCAAACCAAGGTCCAAAGACTGCACCAGTGCAGGTTCAACACAAATGTCGAGGCAGTACTGCACAGGCTATACGACCGTACGTATCTTTAGCAAATTCTCTCTCTCTCTCTCTCTCTCTCTCTCTCTCTCTCTCTCTCTCTCTCTCTCTCTCTCTCTCTCTCTCTCTCTCTCTCTNTTTTTTTTTTAGATGAATAAGAAGAAGACTGACTATATGTACCGTCGTTTTTTATTTTATTTTACTTTATTATTTTGATTAATTCAGCGGAGTATATCATCATAGATCATAAAACTTGATAAATGTGAAAGTTACTTATTCATCATCTCAAATTCATCACTTTTTTTATTTTCCTCGTAAGTTGGGGAAAAGAAAATAGTGAAGATTCTGGAGAAAATATGATTTGCTGCATAAAGAATTCAATGGTTGAGAATAACCAGATCTGACTAAAGGGATGGCCTCCACTGTATATAATATTCTAAATGCATCAGGAGCTCATATAATGGTGTCCTGAGTCCTGACTGAGTCCTGACACATTCAAAATGTTGCCCCATGAGCCATAGGCAGAGAGGGAGAATGGACCACGAACGAAGGGCTGCGACAAACTGCTCCCTTGGAGGATGGTGAACCCTCTACAGTCTGCAGAGTCCCCTAAGTAATAATCAAAAACTGATAATCAACAAACAATCATACCGTAAGTGATAATCAACCTTAACCCCGGTTGTGGCTAAGCATCAACGAGTCAACGACAGACCGCGTTAACCCTGGTTGAGCGTCGAGGTTAAGCATCAACGACAGGACGACGACTGATACCCTGAGGTCACTGAGGTAGGCACCAAGGATACGCAGTCACAAAACTGCCCAGTGAGCTGTAGGTAGAAAGGGAGAAAATGACAAGAAACAGGGGGCTGCGACAATCTGTTTTATCATAGTCTCACCGACTCATCTGGAAGAGAAGATTGAACCCTCTGCAGTCTTAAAAGTCCCATAACCAATGATACTGCAAGTGATAATCCACCATAACTCCAGTTACAGTCGCCCTTTTCGGTGACTGGTGGCATTCTGAATTGGAAAAGATGCACATATACCCTGAAGGGCCTGAACCACTTTCTCAAAAATGCAAGGAGCTGAAACAAAAGTGTTCTCCATTCCCATCCACTGATACCATATCTCTGACATCAGCCATTCATTATATCACCAGCCATCTCAGATGACAGATGACAAGATTCATCGCTATTCAACCCTTTCAGAACAACATTATCGTTATCAACAAACAAGTGTTAACGAAATCATCTCTCTCTCTCTCTCTCTCTCTCTCTCTCTCTCTCTCTCTCTCTCTCTCTCTCTCTCTCTCTCTCTCTCTCTCTCTCTGTGTCTGTGTCTGTGTCTGTGCCTCTGCCTCTGTCTCTGTCTCTGTCTCTCGCCCTCCCTCTCTCCCCTCTCTCTCTCTCCCCCTTTCCCCCCACCCCTCCCTCACTCCCCTTTGTCTCTTTCCCTTCGATCTCTCTCCCACCCCACCTTCATGTTTTTCTCTCTCCCTTCTCTCTTTTCATCCGAGGCTGAGGCTGTCGCTGCTCGACATCGCAGCATCCACCACCTGCAAATGACCGCGAGCCCGACCGCCGCTGATGGCCAGGTGCTGCTCAGAGTATCATTGTATTGAACAGGATTGAGCTCACATCTTAGTTACTGTCAATTACAGGACCGCGTTGTTAACCAATCGGCAAGAGTATTTGGCAGGCACATCTTTCTCATTTTGTTTTAACTTATGGATCTAGACAAGGCAAAATGACCGATGCATGGGCCTTCTCTGGTTTTCATCTACACAAGTTGGAATTTTGTTTCTGGTCTGACCATACATGAGCCATACAAGGTTCAACGTTGCACCAGGACGTTTGAAAGTTACAGGGAGAGAGACTGATAATCCCCAAATTGTGACACCAGACATATGGAACGGTTGCTGGCAAAGCGATCAGCGTGAACTTTCCGAACTTCTTTTTGCAAAGAATATATCGCTCATATTTCTTCTCTGCTGCAAGTCTATGCGTGGTGAGTCGTCTTTGCTCCAAGTCCATCTTTCGTGTCATCCACTATCCAAATGCACGAATGGCACCGCAATTCGTTCCAGTTCCAGTTCCAGTTCCAGTTCCAGGTCGAGCTCCATACCAGGACCATACCTTGTTCCACAACTGCAGTCTTGTAGGCGCTCCCATTGTTTCAATCTCTGGCGATGAAAGCGAGTCCACAACTGCACGGATGAGCGGATCGTCTTTTGCCGACGCTTCCAACAGTTTCGCCAACTTCGACAACGGCTGCCCTCGCATCAAAGCATCCTCGAGGACAAACGCGCCCTGCGCCCACAGGACGAGTCACAAAAGCCGAGTTTTGCTTTCCATGCGTCAGAGCGTAATAATTGTAATAACAAGAAACAATGATGATACCGAAAAGTTCTTCTTCGTTATGCACTCCAACATGCAAAAAATATTTTCAAGCACAAAATTGAACCACTGAACTTGTGTGTGTCTCGCGATTGGCTGGATGGCGCCCTCCTCCACATGTCCATTGGTATGTTAAGAGTTTTCAGTACCCAGTGGGTGCAGCTACCATCTTCACCCAAAAGGAACGTACAGTCATCACCGCTGCACCTAGACTGAAAGTTGCCCCAAATACAGGCATAATGATGGAACGTACAGTCATCACCGCTGTACCTAGACTGAAAGTTGCCCCAAATACAGGCATAATGATTGTACGTTCTATTCGAGGCAAGACAGTAGTTCTTCAACGACTTGAATTGGCTATGGGTCCAAGGGTTTCAAGGCACCGACCTCGAAGTTCGAAACACAATGCTTGAAATTTCAAGATTGAACGCAAGCAAAGCTTTGGAGTATGAACTACCTTCTTCACACGAATACAACATACGGTCTTTATTGCTGTATTTAGACAGAAAGATACCCCAAATACAGCTATAATGACCGCACGACGTACGCTGTATTCGGGTGAAAGAAGGTAGTTCAGCAACTGCAAGCCCATAAGCCGTCGTATTTCAGAACCTAGTTGCATGAAGATCACCTGGGAGAGTGTCCTGACAGTTGACGGAGTGCCCACGTCAGGGGGAGAGAGATGTGCAGGCAGTGGCTATGTTATGCAGAGAGTGATGTGTGCAGGCAAGAGAACATAAGAGCTGTTGCTGGTCGTGAACAAGCGTCGTCGTTATTTTTGTCGTTGTCGCTTCTGCTGCTGATTGTTGTTGTTCTATTGTTTTTGCCATTGTCGTCTTGTTATTATCTTCATTGTCGTTATTGATGTGGGTTTGTGATAGTTGTGAGGACTGTGTCCTTAGCAAGCCCTTGGCAACATGCATATGTTCTGGAATGTGGCCCCGCAGCAAGCCTCGTGCCCGCCCGAAGTGAAGGCGGGCCTGAATATTCACGAGAGGCCCTTGTCGCATCATTTTCCAATACGGGTCTCAGACAGTTGCTGCACGACAGTTGGTTGAAGTGCAACCTGAGCCTTACCCTGGTCTCTTCCAGAAGAAGCAACTGCGACAGGCAGTTGATCCCAGGGCCCGGGTGGTTGTGCCCTGGGCACACACATTGTGAGGCCGACACATCACAAAGTGGCCACGGGCCAACAAGAAAGCAGCATTGTCGTCGTATCTACCCCGTGGGCCAGTGCAAATGCAGCAAACATTCCGAGCCTGGAAAATTCTGGGCGTGCCCAACTAAAAAGGGGCCAGGCCCTTAACTGTCAAGATGGGCCTGGGCGCAGACACTGGGGCCCGACCAGAAGCTACTGGAAACTTCCACGACCAGGCCCAGGGAGTCCAGCAGCAGTTGCCACTTCCATATAGGAAGACAGCCAGCAAGGGACGATATTCTGGCCTAGGCAGGCAATGCGGACACGCTGCTGCGACGCTGCGCAAGTGTCTGCATGTGCGCTGGCTGGCTGGGGCGGGCGCGGGCGCTGCAGGGCGCGTAGGCAGAGGTGGGTGACAGGGGGTGATGAGGGAGACGAGGGTATGTACCTGGTGTATGTGGGAGGTCGGCATTGGTGTTGACGACATGTACATTGGTCTTCAAAGTCGAAGTGAGCCTGTTACATGAACGCAGGTAGGCTAGGTAGGACAAGTAGAGTAGGCTGGGCGCTGGGTGCCAGACAGAGAGGAGCGACATTGAATACTGCGTTGGTGTGGCCTGAGGGCTTGAACATTGGCTCGAGTTCATTGTATTTGCTCTTATTTGGATGAAATCTTGGAGCATTTGAGCTCTCTGCTTGATACATGACTATGTGGACTTCTGCGTGATTTTGCAACTTGGTTTCTGTATATCGCTCTCGTTCATATTCCTTGCATAGTTGTTTTGTCATCATTACCGCTGGTCAGCCCCTGCGGACCTTATTATCAAATGCCCTCAATGGCCGCAATTTACCTCTCCCGCCGCCTCCCCTTCCCTCCTCCCTACCGTTGTTGTTGTGGGCTTCGTCATTCTTGTTGTTGTGATAGTTGTTTTGTCATCTATACCGCTGGTCAGGCCCTGTGGACCTTATGATCAATACCCTAAATGGCTGCAATTTACCCCTCCCGCCGCCTCCCCTTCCCTCCTCCTCCCCACCTCCTCCTCCCTCCCTCTAACACCTTCCGCAACCTACCCCTCGTCTTGTTCCTTCTTCGTTGTCGTTGTTGTTGTGGGCATCATCATTGTCGTTGTGCTGGTAGTTCTTTTGTCATCATTACCACTGGTCTGTCCCAGTGGTCCTTATCATCCATGCCCTCAATGGCCGCAACCTACCCCTCCTGCCACCTCCCCCTCCCTTTTCCTCCCTCTATCTCCCTCCCTCCCTCTAACCCCCTCCAGAGCCACACCAACCTCGGAGACATACACCCTGGAACACACTTTCCAGGTAGTTTAACACCTCTGCATCCACAAACTACCGTCTTCACCCGAATAGAACGCCCGGTCATTATAACCGTATTTGGTGCAACTTGCAGTCCAGGTACAGCGATAATGACCGGGCGTCCTATTTGGGTGAAGATGGTAGGCAATTTTGGCCCTGTCATTTGGAGGTTTGACTCCTTCTACCCCAGTCTTTGCAGGTCACTTGATAGCTGCAAAGCTGCAGCCAGTCAGCACACCAGTTCGCCAAATAGACCCAAACTGGTGGGCCCACTGGTTTCATCTGTCGGCGAGAACCCCCTGCTACGAACAACACAGCTTGAGGTGTTGAACACAGGATAGCTTTGTAACTTTAACCTCCAAAAAATGTGGACAAAGCGCTTTACACCTAAGGCTAAACTGTGGCGGGACGGGCGGAGGGGATAAGCAAACAGAAATCTGTGATTGACGGAGAGGGAATGAATCATCGCACTCATCGAACACAACAACTAACTCAGCTTCCGCTTCTGGTAAATCAAAAGGAGCATGATTCGTTTCCGCTAAACAACAGAGCAGAGAACAGAGAAGTAAGGGGTTCAATGAATGCAATCTCGACATATATACTTATAATTGCGGGTACGGGTGAGGGGTGACCGCTCAGTTCATGGCTGAACGGGGATGCGATGTACGGAAGAATCCGACGACCGAGAACAGTCTGCAAGAAGGCCGCAACAGGGCACAGAAAACGAAACAAAACTCTAGAAAAGGGATGCAAGAAGGCCGCATCAGGGCACAGAAAACGACACAAAACTCTAGAAAAGGGAAAAGAAACTGTGTTAGTCCCCGGGCAGCCCGGCTGGGGGAAGGTCGCCCGGGTACCCTCCCGGGCGGCCCGGACCGGGCAGGGCCCGGGCAGGGTCCCGGGCGATTCCAGCGCATAATATTTAAAAAAATAGGGAAAAAAAAACAAAAAAATCCGGAAAAAAAAAATGTTGTGTAAAATTGCAATACAAACGACTTTTGGCTGAGGGCCACCTCGAAATTCCTTGTTAATTTCAAGGTAAAAAATAAAGGAGAAAACATGAGTCCCAAAAGATCCAAATGTGCCCTTTTAAGCCCTTTAGTCACTGTTTATACCCCCCACCCCCCCCTGGATGACCCATCACCAAAACCGAAGTTAAGACCGGATTCTGACTGCTTGGGCCAAGCGCAGTCCTGGCCTGAAGTCTTTTTTTGGGGGGGGGATCCTTGCCTCTATTTTGACCCGTCTGGTTTTGCTGGGCGACCCCCCTCTGCCCAACTGGCCCCGGCGTGCCTGGCCGGGCGTGCTTGGCCAGGCAACGGCCCAACATAGAAAAGAAATGAAAAAAAAAAATGCTGGGACTCGAGGAAGAGAAAGACCTATCTGGCATCTACCAATTTCTTTCTTTCTCTCTTTCTTTCTATGTTTCTTTTTCTTTTACCGTTAGAAATGTCTGCGATCAGACTCAACCGGCCAAAAGGAAAAGACACATTCACACATCAGACTCTATTCCTTGGTTTCATACGGGACGCAACACTCTTGCGCAACGTACTTACTACTTACCATTGCAATTTTGTGGGCCTCTAGGCTCCGCCTCGATTCTTCTGCATGTCCATCGAATGCCAGCTGCAGCGCATTCAACTGCACATAATTGGATAAGATTCATCAGAATAAGATCAGATGCCCAAAACACATGGATCACTCAGCTTCACTTTCCTTTTTTCTTTTCCTTTCTTTTCTTTCTTTCACACATGAATCACTTAAAGAGTTTGCAAGTTGACATAGCTGCGTTCAGCAAACATTAGTAAACAACAAATCCAACTGGACATCACAGACCGATTGATCAATGTAAAAGCAAAGCTAGACCACGATCAGGCGAAGAAAGACACAACACAAGCAATCAAATGGTTCTCAGGGAGTCAGATAGCGTCGGAGGAATGGCTGGGCAGCAAGCAAGGGGGTTGGATAGACAACATCCAGTGAGAGGGGGGCTGTCAAGCCGGAGGCAGCACCCAAGCGAGACAAAAGATTATCTTTCAAGGACCGAGCATCAGTGGATGCATTAATCCCGCTGCGACCACCTTCGGAATTCCCACCATCTATCGTCGGCGGCCCACAGTGGTACGGAGGCGGGTAACAGACGGCTTCGACTACCGTCTTCACCCGAATAGAACGCCCGGTCATTATCGCTGCATCTGGACCGAAAGTTGTGCCAAATACAGCTATAATGACGGGGCATTCTATTCGGGTGAAGACGGTAGCCCCAGCCAAGCGCAAGAGCGAGTCGACAAGCATCACACATACACAACATACACAGCACGGCCGCAGATGATGCACCCAGGGATGCTTCTGCCTGTTTGGCGGCCGGGGGAGGGCTGAAAAGGCTGGGCCATCTTGCCAACATTCTGGTTCTCTTTACTTTTCCTAACCAAAGCTGGGTAATGTCCCTGGCGGTCGAAAGGTATTGAAATTTGAAATGTATATGGGACGGTAGACCCGGTTTCCAGCAGGTGCTGCCCCCCACCAATAGATTGGGGCGACCAGGACTGGACCTGCTAGCGGGAGACACTCATACCACTCCTGCTAACAGAACGGTGCTGGAGTTCTCTCCCTCTCTCAAAAAAAAAAAAAAAAAAAAAAAAAAAGCTGAGTTAGCCGAAGCTACAAGCATAGATTTCAGTATGAATCAGACATCAACTGCATGGTTCAGGTTCAAAGTATCCAGATTCTAGAAAAAATATTGCCATATTTTTATTATTTTTGACCTAGGCGACCAGATTGCCCGGGACCACTTGCCCGGCCTGGCCAAAAACCATAAAAACAATCAAAAGCATTAAAAACCATAAGTTCCCAATTTTAAGAGAAAAACAATAAAAAATATTTAAAATTTAATAAAAATATTAAAAATATTATGTAATTTTGATTTTAAACTTAAATTTGGTAAAGAATTTCGATGTGACCCTGAGGCAAAAGTTGTTCAGTTTATTTTTCTGCACAACATAGTTTTTTTTTTCGGATTTCTTGGATTTTTTTTAATTTTTTTTTTGCTGGGACCTTCCCCTCGTCCTTGCACGGCCGGGCCGCCCGGGGAAACAGGGTGCCCCGGGTGGCCCGGCTAGTAGCCTGGTTTTTAACCTGGTAAAAGCCCTGTGTGACTACGTCCGCACGAGCGTAAAAGGTACAGATGTAGACAAAACAGTGCAGAAACTTCAGAAAGCTCCGACAGTTGTCTGACAGCAGACAATCACACCATTTCTCATGGGAAATTGCGCTGACCAGTCATCAAGATGTGCCATTCCATCTCACAGCTATGGCTTCAAGGGGAATGAGCATGCAGTCGCAAACGTCTGTCGCCGTAACGCCTACACCCACAATAGCAAGTTGATGGCCTGCTGGAGCTGATACCCACCCATGAAGATGTGCCATTCCATCTCACAGCTATGGCTTCAAAGGGCATGAGCATGCAGTCACAAACGTCCGTCGCCGTGACGCCTACGGCAACAATAGCAAGTTGATGCCCTGCAGGAGCTGCTGGTACCCACCCAAAAGCTAATGACAGTCTTATATGCAGTGACAATCACGCGTGAGTTAGTAAGAGTAACTTAGTTGGTTAGAGTGCTGGCCCGTCACGCCAGAAGTCGCGGGTTCGAATCCAGTTTTTCCCGGTAGGTATGCCTGAGTGGCTGAAGGCATTGGTTTGATGATGTTTATAATATGTACTATCATACTACTATGGCGTGACAGGTTCCGGGACTGACAAAGTTCAACGAACTACGCTTGTGAGTTCACCATGTTTTTCTGAAAGCAGGCATTTACAGATTGAATATATAAATGTCAAATTCTCATCACAGTTTCAAAGTTCGGACACTGAGAGGCCAAGACTCGATGTTGAAGAATTCACAAACCCCCGAACAAGAAAGCTGACGCTCACAAAATCCCTTTAGCCAAAAATGGGCTTGAAACGCTGAGGGACTTCCATGCATCCAGGCTGGTGACTAGGCACACATGAATCTGGAGTCTGGGCACAAAACAAAATCTTCTAGGCTACAGAACAGATACAGATGCATCTCCATCATCTCAAAACCGCAACCATACATCCTTCCTCCCCTTCCTTGCACTCCTCCTCCTGTCTCGTATGCCACTCTTATCACTCTTGGTACTACTACTTTCGCAACGAGCAATACGATAATATATTATATACCTTCATCCGTATTTGGTCAGTCTCTTCAATTCTTCCTGCCCTCTCACTCGCAATCGTGGCTGCCGATTTCGCTTCGAGTGCCACCTTCAGCTCTGCGATCTTCCGTTTCTCATCCTCCATCTGTTGCAACGAATTCCCCGCCATTCACAAGTCGCAAGAAAAACAATTTCAGAAACGGCACTAGCTCAGTTGGTAACTTGGTACATCCATGAATTGTTTGTTGACATGCAGACCTCAGTTCGAACCCCAACGGACATGGATCAATGAGATAACATAATTCTGAAAGGCCTGGGGGCGGTCAGTTCGACTCTAACATCTCGAAACCGTCACCCTTAAACCACCACTAACCTCTCCCAGGCAAACACTTGCAACGAAGTTGTCCACCACCGTGTTCTTCAGGGGCTCGGCCTCCCGGGTCTCTCTGGCTGGCGGCACAAGGCCGCCAGCCAAAAAGGAAAAACAACGAGTGCTGCACCGGTTCGTTTTGAACTTGGCGCGCAGCGCAAATCCGCCGCCGGAAAAGGACTCAGAGGCAGTGGTGGTTAAAAAAAAAAAAAAACACAAAAAAAAAGCAACTCAAACAGACCATCACATGACAATGTCACAATCAACATACCTTGAACGGTCACCACCTCTCCTAGTACACAGAAGCCCCCCCTTCCCCCCCCCTTCTCTCTCTCTCTCTCTCTCTCTCTCTCTATATATATATATATATCCCCCTCTGCACCCAGATTCACATGATTGAGGATTGCAGACACTGAACCTTCAAGCCGTCTATCACTGAGAGAAAAATTTTGACATTACAAGAAGAGTCGAGTACAGACTCCTTTTTAGGGCATACTCACACTAGGACTTCATGGGATGTCTCTCTCGAAGTTGTGTGATACGCCCTAAGGCACGATTCCATAGGGAAAGACTCCCCTCTGGTCGGTTACGGGATGCTAGGTTATGTCGGGTCTCTGCTGAGTCATGTGGGGTCCTCTGTGCACCCTAGGAAAACGAACAAGGGAGACTGCAAAACGAAAACAGAAATGGCGGAAATCGAGACCTGTGTCATGTGGGGTCCTCTGGAGAGGGTAAGTGCACAGAGGACTAAAACATCAAAATTTAAAAGAAAAAAAAATCAAGCTAAGGTACCCCCCCCTTAAACCCTGTTAAGCTCCTTTAAAGCCCATTTATACCCCCTTCCCCCCCCCACACCGACAACGCTACAAAACAAAACAGCACCCGAAACTGGGCTCTTTTCTGTGGGTGCAGAAACACCCCACCGATGAACAACAAACAAGATCAAATCCCTGACTTTCCAACATGCCTGGGTTGATCCCCGCAGGAGATCCCTCCAGGCAAGCAGATCGACTGCCCGAATGGGCCTGCCTTGCTGGGAGTCCCAGGTCTACCTAGGTTTCAACCAAAAAGAGGCAAAAACAAAAAAAAAAAGTATGAAATAAGACATGTAACATAAGACATGATGCCATGATAGTGGGAAAAAAAAAAAAAAAAAAAGGGAAGTAGAAAAATTCTGCAATAGTGGCATACATACCAGTTGATGCAATTCTCTCTGCCTTTTCTCCTCCTCCCTTTGTAATTGCTCCTTCAGCGCCTTTGCATGGAGAAGTTTCTGCTTTGTTAATTCCTGCAAGTATTCCAACACAAAAGCTGCCAGTCGGTCTTTCATTATACTGATTACAACCCCTGTCACTTATTTCATGCTATTTCTTCTTCCTTTTTTTTTTTACCATTTCTCAATTTATGTGTGTCATCCTTGTGCAGGGGCCTTGCTAATCTTCTCTGTATCGTTCCAATTTTAACGGATGTCCCGAAGGACTCTTCTTCTTCTTTTCTGTTTTTTTTTGCTGGTTCTTTTTCCTGACTGGAATGGGGGCTTCTTCAGCAGGTTGTAGTTTTTTTGGGGGGGGACCACCTCTCAATTTGTGCAGGTCATCCTCGTGCAAGGAAAAATAAGCAAAGCGTAGTACAGAAACCAAATTGCATCAACCCATTGAAAGCTAGAAAGTCATGTGCTCGAAAAGAAAGCAGAATGAAGCAATGAACTGAGCCTAGCATCTCGCCTCCACCACCATCGTTTCCAATGCCGCCCTTCTATATGGCGCTCGGCGCCCAGACTACTATCCGACAGCACCTGGACTAGCCTAGCATCCAATGACATCAACAGGTCTTCATGAAGTGCAGCTGCCAGATGACAAATGAAGACTTCGGCTAGATGGACCCGCTCATCATCATCAGGTTTGTGCTCTCGTCCACCATCGCCCATCCCCCTCTGAAACCACAGCGTCCTCTCCCAGGACCTCCGCCCTACCCCCTTCTGGCACTTACAGGCAGCGGCCTGGCTATGGCCGCCGCTTGGCGTTGCTGCGCCCAGCAGCTATGTCGTGCGCCCCGCCAGCGCTTTCTCCTTCCACCCCCCGCCTTTGTCCAACGCGCGAGCACTCGAGCATGCAATCCAGCAGCGCTCACGCCAGCCAGCCAGGGCAAGAATAAGGAAGTGCCCACCTGCACTTCCTTTTGTGCAGATACTGGCTGGGCGTGGCACGGCCTCTGTTCCAGTAGCTACGCCCCTGGGCCCTTCCAGAATGTGCCTGGGGCTCAACTGTAAGGGTCCAGGGCCTCAGCATATCTCTGGGCCCCAGCATCTACAACAGATTGGGCCTAAAGAACGGTTGCAGATGCTGCGAGCAGCAACCAAGCCAGGGACACAACCAACACACGCAGGCAGCTTTCCTGAGGCCTCGACGAGTTTCCAGGGGCCGCCTTCGCTTAGGATGGATGCAGACAATTACAACCAGGCTCAGTCCCTTTGCAGCGGGCACAGGCCCCGATTTCAACCTGGCCGAGGGCCTTATGCCTTGCACATGTGCAGGGGCCACGCCATTCTTCTTTCCCTGCTTCACTTAATTTTTCGAGGATGTCCTGCAGGACCACAGGTTGTAGCAATCTGATCCACTATTTCAGTATTTTGAACTATTTTCCCTTTTTCAAGAGAATTGGTAACAGCAAAATGAAAAAAGGAGTCAGTGTGGGAGAGCAACCATCATTAAAAATGCACAGAGAGAAAGACAAAGAGGTAGGCAATGACAGAACGAGAGGAATGAATGTGAATGAGATAGGAATGAGATGGGGGGGCAGAGAGAGAGAGAGAGAGAGAGAGAGAGAGAGAGAGAGAGAGAGAGAGAGAGAGAGAGAGAGAGAGAGAGAGAGAGAGAGAGAGAGATCAACATGAAAGAGGTGGAGAGAGAAAGAGAGAGATCAGAGGAAAGAGAGAAGGAGAGAAATCAACATCAAAGATGATCGATTTGTTTTCCCGGCCTGCACCTACCTTCTCAAGAGTGCTGGCCTTCTGGGCATGCCGAAGGGCATTTGCCCTCTCGTCATTCAGTTCCTGCCTGTGTTCTTCTTCAAGGCGTTGGATTCTTGACTCGAATGTTTCTCGGATGGCTTCCTCCTGCTTCAACATCATCCCATATATCAATCCTCCTAGTTCCTGAAACTCTTCTCCGTCTGCCGTCTCCGCTTTCTTCCCTGCGCTCACTGCCTCGCTCCTTATTGATGCCACTGCGTCATCCCTGTGTTCATCTTCTTCAGCCAACTGTCCATTCCGCTCTCCATCCTCCTCCAACACAACACCACCCTCTTCCACTCTCACCTGTTTACTAGCTTTAACATCATCAGCAGTCCCAGCACCAGCAGTCTGCATGACATCACCAGGAACGACGCGACAACATCAAGAACACAAACACTCAGGACAAAGTAGTGGCTGGTCACCTACACTGTTGCTGTAAACACTGTCCTGTCACATCTATACTATCAGTAACTAATTGCAAAGCATACAGATACAGGACCATAAACACGCAATCACTTTGTAATGAGCCCAACTTCTGAAGCTCACAATCAAATCTCACATGAGTACGCACTGCTCAACTCAATGATAAGAAGTGTTAAGAACTTAAGAAGCATATTGAGACAGTACAGAAAGATAAGACTATGTAACGAAGAAGATCAAAAGCATGGAATTATGTTAAACCACAAGTACATGGGCCCAGAAAACTTCATAATCAAGACTGAGCTGCTCCGAAGAACAAGGAGGCTCGGGGCGATCAGACCAAAATGGCTGGCGGCGCCAACCACAATTAAAACAAAAACGTCGTGCTGGCGTTTCAGTAAAAGCTTGGCGCACGGTGGTAATCCGCCTTGTACAAAAGGGGCACGGATATACTGGTCCTTTAAGCGTATATACTATACAAACAATGAATTCAATGTTCAGACTGCTTCTCCCTCGTCTTCCACGGAAATCCTTTTCAACACCTCAATGTCACAAATGGCTTGTATCTCTTGAATCCTTTATCACCAGTCTGGACACAATGTCACTTGCAAAATCAACCTATCCACAGCACTGACTATCCCAGGCTAGCACAATGAAGCTGGAACTGGAAATGACAATGTCAAACTTCTGCAGCAGCATGCAGTCCTCTTACTCCAACTCAGGACCACCTTGCCTCTTTGTAGCTAGCCATGATGACCTTCTCTCTCATCCCCTGACCACACTAGCACAAGTGCCACACTCTCTGTACCACACAAGCACCAACAGGACGAAGTGCAGGACGATGGACGCTGGTCTCCGTCCTCTTGGAATCTTCTTCCCCAGGTAGCTATGGCCGCAAGTGACACGTAAACTTCCTACACCTTCTTGCCAACCCCTGTGCAATGGTTGCCTCCTCCTCCATATCTCCACCTCTGAACCTCCTCTTTATCGTCCACGTCTCAAGCAGGCGGCGGGCGTATTCGTGGACCCCAGACAAGCTCTAATCCACAACAGCAATTCTGAGTCTTTGATGAAGAATGTGGAGCACATGCAACCACTGGTCTTCTCTGCAGCAGCTATGGCAGAACACTCCTAGTTGACGCGCTCTCTAGGTAAACTTCCTCTTCCCCCCAAGCCTTGGACTCTACCTCGGATATCCCCTCTCCTCTCTCTTGTAGCTATGGTGCATCAGCGCCATCTACAGGCTATGGCTTCCACTCTCTCTTGCCATTGCCATGGTAGTCTCTCACTCTCTTTGTCTGCCTTCTCTTACACTCACTGTAGCAGTGCACTATAGCGTGCCACTGTAGTATGTCACTGTAGGGGTGCCACTGTAGTCGTGCACTGTACCACGTGTGCGTCACTGTAGCCGTGCACTGTACCACGTGTGCGCCACTGTAGCCGTGCACTGTACCACGTGTGCGCCACTGTAGCCGTGCACTGTACCACGTGTGCGCCACTGTAGCCGTGCACTGTACCACGTGCACTGTACCCCATGCGCGCCACTGTTGCTGTGCACTGTACCACATGCACTATGGCCGTGCGCTGTAGCGTGTGCACTGTAGCAGCGCAAGGTAGAATCAATCCATCGGCTGGGGCAGGCCACTCTTTTATAGTGTTTACTTGGCCTGGCCTGCCTCCATTTGCCTCCTCCAAGGGTTGAGATTTCCCGATCTTTGTGGCCCAAATTTGCTCGCGGCCAGTGTGTGCCTGGGCCCAATAGGCCTTGGAAACTTCTGAAAACTGCACTGAGCCTTTAAATTTGTGTGAGATCTGTGGCCGTGGTTGAATCCTGGGAAATCTTTGACTCTTTGACTTCTGTGTCCGGGTAGAGCCTGACTGTTGACTTTCCTAAAGTGTAGTTTTGACTCTGGAGGCATGACGTGCCTCATTTTGACCCTTGACCCAGTTACATGTTTACCAAGGGACATTCTTATGCCTCTTCAGAGTCAAAGAAGTGACAACTGAACTCTTAGAATGTCGACCTGACCACAGGTTACGACCCTGGACCAGGTCTGTGCGGATTCCGTACCAGGTATAGAGACTTATCAAAGTCCGTACGACTAACTGTTGACCCCTAAACTTTGCTAGGTCAAAAGCTAAGACCCTTAGAACTTGGACTTCACCTTGGACCTCAGGTTCTACCCCATTTCTTGACTCTACAGGGGTCTGCAAACCATAAGGTCATTTGACTGAGATATGGGCTTAGAGTCCCTTGGACCATATTCTGCAGGATTGAGGGCCATTCTGACGAACTCTGGAACCCCACAGAGCCCTATTTCTCATGCCTAGCCTTGACTCAGAATTTGGATGCATGTTTCTGTGCTGGATTTGAACCCAGGTCATTGCAATTTCCTTAAATAGGAAAAAAAGAAGAAGGTAGGTTCAGTGATGATCCTAACACGTCCACCAAGATCCCATGTCAGTGTGACAGACTACCGTCTTCCCCCAAATAGAATGTACGGTTGAGACGTTCTGTTCTACACTAAAAGTTGCCCCAAACACAGCAGTACGTTATATTCGGGCGAAGATGGTAGGTCCTGGCTGTTCTGCTGCACCGTTGATGTACACGGTGTTGTGTCAGAAAAAAAAAAAAAAAAGTACGAGCAACTGATCGGACACACAGATGCACCACATTCATTTTCTTAAACAGGAAAAAGAAAGAAAAGGAAGGTTAGTGATGATGCTCACACACGCACAAAATCCCATGCCAGTGAGACAGGCTTAAGTCCTGGCTCCATCTCCAGTAGGCAGTTCAATTGCCATTCGGCAGACCCGAGACTGTGATTCAGCCTCCCCAGCATTGGAGATGCATGACTCAGGGTGCAGCTTTGCTCCCAAATCATTTTGTGTTTTTTTTGCTTTGCAGGCCGTGCTGGTTTTGACCAACAGCAGGCAGAAGGCCGAAGGCCAACGTTATCTTATATCCACTAATGAATCAAACCACTGTGGAAAAGAAGTCGCCCATCTGCCTTCGGTTCTGTGTGAATGACATTCAGGATGCACCACCCCCGGACACCCCAGGATTGGAACATCGCTTGCCCAACTTGCAAATTGCGCCGCTGGACGTACATCACATGGGAGATCTGCAGAGTGACCACCCAAGACTGTGATTCAGCCTTTCCAGCATTGCAGATTCACGACTCACCTGCTGTGCAGGGTGCAGTAATCCCCATTCGGGATGCAGCCCCCGACACCCCAGGATTGGAACATCACTCGGCCAACTTGCAAAAAGTTGCGCCGCTGGACGTACATCACATAGAGATCTGTAGATGAGCACCCACCCACGACACAGCCCACGGCATTCTGTTTCAGGAACATCATCAGGGGAACTTGGCAATTGTTGGCCACCGTCTTCCCCCGAATACAACAGAGTGAACACACCCTCAATACGACTGTATCGGGACCTGAGTCATACTTGTGTATACATTCACGATTAGTGTGCACTTTCGTGTTTGGGGGCAATCGGGAACATCTCTACGATCCCCACCCCTCTTATTGGGAAGCTCCCCAACCTCTGTGGTCTGCTGGTGCTAATGCCCATCGGTGCATCTTCCGCAGCCTGTTTTTACACAGCATCAGGCTTTCTTACAATTGCCCTTCAGCTGGATGTAGATCTTCCCTACCTGAGGCAGAAATTAGTGACTGTACCAGTGAAGGCATCTACACAATTGTGCGTCTTCGGGCCCTCTTTATACAGCCTCGTACTTTCTTGCACTTGCCTCCCGATCCATGTGGGTCTTCCCTACCTGGAGGCACTTCAGCTCAATGTGGGCTTTCTTGCAATTGCCCTTAGCCTCAGACTTTACTTTCTTGATATTGCCCTTTCAGCTTAATGTGGAGATTCCCTACCTGGAGGCAGAAGGGAGTAACTTTACCTTTCTGGAATTGCCCTCCAGCTCAATGTGGATTTTGTTGCAATTGCCCTTCAGTTCAATGTGAATGCCGCGGCTATACAATTGAGGGACCACGAACTCGAACTGCGCCTTACTTGGGCAGGTGAGTGGTTTCATCCTCCTCCTCACATCTCTGCCTGCACTCTACATGCACCTGGGCCATTACATGGTCATTGTTCATGCCAACGACCACTGGGAACTGCGGGACAACAACACCATGGTTCATGCGGCAATAAATGTCCCCAATTTCCTTCACAATGAGGACGTTTTCTTCCTTGGCAAACCGTCGGCACACACATTCATCTCTACGGCGACTCGTCTGCCCCTGTGCCAAAGCAGAGCAATGTGTCAAACACTCTGCCACCTTCTCCTCTGCACGGCTACAGATACTGTTAGTTACACTCCGCTCCAGGCGTCAATATCTCTGATTGAATCACCTTGCCAGGAGTTCTACAACAACCACAAGTGCAGAGGGCTACCCCTCATTCCCTAACTGTGGGCACCCTCTGCACCTTGGCATCACATGCCCATCCCTATTCAGCAGTCCTCACTTTCCCTTTAACTCTCTCTCTCTCTCTCTCTCTCTCTCTCTCTCTCTCTCTCTCTCTCTCTCTCTCTCTCTCTCTCTCTCTCTCTCTCTCTCCCCTTATCCTGGTTCCCTTCTCCCTACAATGTGCAAGAGGGCCATTATGGCACACGGGAGTGAAGGCAGCTCCCACTAAACTGAGAAGAGGTTAACCGGCCCCCCATTTTTCACCTCAATTTATAAGAAAACCATAAGGCCATTTTAAGCAAACTTCATACCGATGTATAGAGTGCACTTCTTACTAACATATTATAAAAACAAAACAAAAAAACAAAAATTAAAAACATATAAAACAGCAAGCCAAAAGTGCATTTTCATGAAATTTTGGCAAAAAAACTGCCATCAAATTTTCACAATTTTCACCACTCTTCACAACACAAATTCTAATACTCCAAATGACATCAAATTTGACACACAGAAAGCTTGTCCAAATAAAAAAAACAGGCAAAAAAAAAAAATCCAAAAAAACACAAAAAAAAACTAAATTCAGGATCATTACACTCCCAAATGCCGAAAAATTTTGGCGAGTGCTCGCGGGAGTCAGACGTGGAAAACATCCCGTTCCAGATCGTGCTTCGCCACACTGCTCTCTTGGAACGGGCGCCCTCAGCATCCCAGCTTGGCTTCTGCCTAGTGTCAGTGGAACACGACGGTATATCCTCGCTGGTTGATGTAAATGGGGATCGCCGTTTTTGGGAGAGTTCAAGCCTATTCAAGTCCTCCGGTGCCCTCTTGCAGGCGGGAGGTTTCGGGAGATCATATGCGAGTGCTCTTGAGGCGTGAAACATGACAGGCATAGTGTGTGGCGAAGCACGTTCTGGTTGGTCTGAAGCTGGTGTGGCGAAGTGTGACTCCCAAAATCCAACCATTTCAGGCGAAGTGTGGCAAACCTTGTACCTGAGGGGCACAGTAAAGGGAGAGCTGAAAGAACAAAGTAAAAGACAAACCATGAAAAAAAAAACAAGAGAGAACTAGACAGGAAAGAAGTTTACAGAAAAAAGGCAAAGAACGGCTTCAGTGCGTCTCATGCTGTCTTCTCTTTTCATCATTTGTTTTGCAAAGTGTGCTCTTTTAGTTGCAATCGATAAATGTCCTTCACGACATCCGTTAAAAATTAAAATTGGAACGATACAGAGAAGATTTTTTTTTTTTTTTTTTAATACAGAGGAGATTAGCATGGCCCCTGCGCAAGGATTAAAAAAAAAAAAAAAAAAAAAAAGAGAAGTTGCAATCGATAAACAACGATATACATAGTCATGGAGAACCGCCCACTTAACCTTAGAGGCAGAAAGGGAGAAAAGGACAAGAACAAGTCCTGGCTTGTCTCCCACCGTCCCACGTAGTGCTTTTTTTTTTTTTTTTTTTTTTCCTCCCACGTAATGCTGGAAAACAGAAAAGAACGGTTTCCTAATGCTGACGCTTGAACAAATTCCAGGCCGGTGTGGCTGAGCCGCTGAGGTACATTTCTTCTCCTTTCTCCCCTTTCTGCCTACGGTTCACCATGCACTGCACAATACATAGGGCCTCGCTCCACTACCGTCTTCACCCGAATAGAACGCCTGGTCATTATAGCCGTATTTGGTGCAGTTTTCAGTCCAGATAGAGCTATAAAAACCGGCCGTTCTATTCGGATGAAGACGGTAGTCATCACTCTACTACATGCATTTGGATACTTGTTGATTTTCCTTTTCTCCTCTGCCTACGGTGAACCAAATAGTTGTTTATGTTTACGGGTTTCGGTTTATAAATATAATATTATATTAATTTATATATGCATCTGGACCAGGTGCATTCGGGTGGGTCAAACATTTTGAATGTCCAGGGTTCAGAAACCGTCCAGGTGCATGTAGAGTGGTGTAGTGGAGCAAGGCGGCCTAGAGTCATAGAGAACTGTCCGGTGCACCATAAGCAGAAAAGGAGAACAGGAAAAGAAACCCGGGGGCGCTGTGACAAACTGTTTCGCACGAGTTTCATCCAGGAGGCTGAACCCTCACAAATACAGTGCCTCGGTCCAGTGCGCAACAGTATATCTGGAGCTGGTAATGATCCCAAATATGTTCAAACTGTTTGATCAATCCAAATGTATCAGGTCCATCAGGCAGTCGAGATACGTGTCTAATGTTGAGTACAGCAGAGAAGCCTATAACATATATAAAACACATCAATGTCGGAGTGAAAGGAGCGATCTTACACCAACCTGTGCCATCTGCACCCGAATAGAACGCCCAGCCATTATAGCTGTATTCGGGGAAACTTTCAGTCTAGATAGAGCGAAATAGTGCATCAACCTGTGCCAGGGTAAGCGACCGTCGTCAGTGGAATAGAACGCCCAGTCATTATAGCTGTATTGGGGGCAACTTCCAGTCTAGATACAGCGAAATGACCGGGCATTCTATTTGGGTGAAGACGGTAGCCCTGACACCCATTCACCAACGGCACCGGCAGTGCGGAAGCACATCTTGTTTTTTTTGCCTTTTAGAGAAATGTGTGCGTCAACAAGAACACAAGATGTGTGTCGTCGACTGGCCAAGCAGTCATCGACCAAGTTTCCATACCTCATTGACTTGTTTCCTTGTCAATGACGCCTTCTCCTCTTCCTCCTCGTCGTCGGCTGCCTTCGTCAACCTGGCCCCTATACCAGCGGCCATCTCTGACATGGTTACCTCAGCCTGCAGATCAGTTCCTCTCTCATGCTTATCGTCCATTCCCACCATGTCGGAGAGCTCTTCCTCTCCATTCTCATCACCGTTCTCTTCCTCCTGCTCGTCGACAGACACAGGTTCGTCTGCTTCCCCCACCTGAGCCGCTTCCGCATCTTCCTCCACCTTGTCCTCTGGTATGGGGCTTAGTTGCTGCTCTGAGTCTCTCCCCTCCTCCTCTTCCTCTCTGCCCTTCTCCAGGCTTTCGGCACCCTCCGTCCCCCGGTATCCCACCGCTTCACTCGCCTGATCCTTGGTCTCTCCTTCCTCCGGTTCCCTCCCCATTTGACCAACGTCACCATGCTTTGGCTGCTCCGTTCGCCTTTGCTCGCCCCCCAGTTTCGCTTCTCCAAGATCCGGCCCTTGTAGGCCAAGAAATTGGAATGCCGGGCGCAGCGTCCTCTCGGTCGCCTCTCTTCCTCCATCTTCCCATGTCCACCAAAGAAACCCCCCACCGACTGCTGTTGTCAGTCCAAGCACCGCCGCCAAAGGCTTCAAGGTGGGGTCGCGAGGCTGAACCTTCTTCGGATCAGGAGATCCTCCCGCAGAAACTTGACTCGCAGCCGAACCTGTGCCCTTCGAAAATTCACATCAAACAAATGACCCATATCAACACCCAGATAGCATAACACACACGCGTACAACATGCCAACAGAGAAATTGAATAGCACACATCCATAGGCATCCATAGCCACAATGCCATAGCTGCATTCTGTGTGTTGCATGAAATGCAGATGTGCAATGTCAACGGGCACACGGCAAGTATAGTCCGAAGCACACACGCATAGGACACCTAACAAGAGAGACCAGTTGCATAGCACAGCCACATGCGAATCCACTTAGCGAGTGCTGTGTTTTACATGCCAGTCCGCTTATCGGAGGATTAGCATTGAGCGAGAGACGGTTAACGGAGGCCTCAATTTTTAGACCACTTGACAGGCCATTTATTAAAAAAAACAAGGGTCATTTTAGCCAAACTTGCCACCAATTCATAGAGTGGAGATCATACTAACTACTTTACCAAAAAAAAATGAAAAAAAAACTTTCAAAACCTATAAGACAGCAAGGCAAAAGTGTGTTTTCATGCAAAATTCACTCATTAAGATGAGATACACATTGTAGGTCACATCAAACAGATGTAGCAAAAGACCAGGCAGCTAGATGCATGGCAAAACATAGGACCCAAAAGAGACAGAGAACGTTGATCCATTTGCAACAGCTTTAAAACCTAGGCTGTTTTTCCGGGCGCCCGGGGCACCCAACTTATGCCCGGATACACGCCGGGTGCCCAGCCGGGCATGACCCCCTGGCAGGGTTTCGAGCAGCTCCAGCTCCTGTCTCTTATACACATCTAGATGTGTATAAGAGACAGGGCCCACCCACCAGAAAAAAAGAAAATAATTCAGCAAAACAATATGTTGTGTAGAACTGCAATACAAACGACTTTTGGCTGAGGGTCACGTCAGAATTCCTCACAGAATAGGAGATTCAAAAACAAAAAAAAAAAAAAAAAAAAAAAAAAAAAAAAAAAGGGGGGGGGGGGGGGGGAGGAAATGTTGTGTAGAACTGCAATACAAACGACTTTTGGCTGAGGATCACATCAGAATTCCTCACAGAATCGGAGATAAAAAAGACAACAGCACAATCACACTAAAGCACCCCCCCTTAAACCCCCTTAGCCCCTTTAAAACCAATTTATACCCCCCTTCCCCCCCTTTGACAGCCAACTCTCAAAAAAAGAAATCAGCCCGGATTTGGGGTCCTCTTGGGAGAGTGCAGAAACCCAAAATATTTTTATTTTTTTTTTGTGCACGCCTGGGTATACCCCGGGCGTCAGACCCCCCCAGGTGCCCGGCTGGGCAGGACAAATCTTCCGAGTTTTAAACTTGTTATAGTGTAAGGAGCATATGAGCTACATGCGGAAAAATGCAAAGCCCATCCCTTGTGGCTAAACGGTACGCACACATAACTGTTAATAAGAAACAGCCAATGAGTTCAAATCCTGATGAAAATAATACCCTTACGATTGTCTCCTCGGTCTAGGGTAGATTAGGTAGGTTGAGATAAAAAAATAATGAGAGAAGAAAATAGAATAGTAAAAATGCAGCTCTCCGCCAATGAGGAGAAGACAGTCTGCATTCAAGGGGGGGGGGGGGCACAGGAACGTAGGGTGGTATATAGGTAACTGAAGTAACACCGTGATCATAACGAAAAAAAAAAAAAAAAAAAGGCTAGATTTCAACAAAAAAAAACAAAAAAGGAAGACAGTAAGATACTAGATAGTTGTGGGTAATTGAAGGCGAGGTTCAAGAGGTTTTAGCACTTACACTAGCAGATCTCTGAAGAGCTGATGCTGACGTAAACCTCCTCCTTATCCGTTCCCTGCGACCGACATCAGCAGACCTCCCGATGGAGGGGCCACTTGTGCTGCCCACAGTGACTCTACCGTAGGCTCGCAGCCAGGCAGACCCAAAGCAGGCATGGTTTCTAATTGGCCCGCCACCATCCAAGCAACACTTAAGCATCCGCAGGCCGGCCCGTCGGCGCAGTCCAGACAAAGCGGAGGCTGCACTCATGGCTGCTTCTGCTGCTGCTGCTGAACGTTTCACCACAGCTGCCTCAACATTGACAGCGTTCTCTCAGCTTCGGCGAGCTGCAGGGCCCCTGTGCTGAGAGAGTCAGCCAGCCGAAAAGACATACAGAGTCAACCAAAAATAGACAAAGTCAGCCAAAAATAGACAAAAATGGGCAAAGTTAGACAAAGTCAGACAAACACATTATGCATTGGCACTCAGAAAATTAATCAAGGACACAGAAAAAGCATCCATGCTACAGTAAACTACTGCCAGGACACACATCCTCCTCTTCCTCCTCTTCCTCCTCCTCCTCCTCCTCCTCCTCCTCCTCGCCGTCGTATTGTTATTAATTATATTTTTCTATTTTTTTCATCATTTACTAATCTACAATTTCATGTTTATTATTAGCATTTTAGGCACATTGGTTATTATGAATAACAGTACTGTTTTACCATTTCCTATTCTATTGTTACTATGTTAGATTCTTCTTCTTCTCCCCCTCCTCCTTCCCCGTATTCCCCTTCTCCTTCTTCTCCTTCTTTTCCTTCTTCTCCTTCTTCTCCTTCTCCTTTTCCTCCTTCGCCTGCTCCTGCTCCTTCTCCCTCTCCTCCTTCCCCGTATTCCCCTTCTCCTTCTTCTCCTTCTCCTTTTACTTCTCCTTTTCCTCCTTCGCCTGCTCCTGCTCCTGCTCCTGCTCCTGCTCCTTCTTCTCCCTCTTCTTCTTCTTCTTCTTCTTCTTCTTCTTCTTCTTCTTCTTCTTCTTCTTCTCCCTCTTCTTCTTCTTCTTCTCTCTCTTCTTCTTCTTCTTCTTCTTCTTCTTCTTCTTCTTCTTCTTCTTCTTCCCCACCTTCCTGTTCTTCTTCTTCTACTGCTACTGCTGATGTTTGATGCTGGTTCTTCTTCATCACCTCCTGCTTCCCATCCTCCTTCCCATGCTTTTCCTCATCCATGTCGCCCTTCTCCTGCATTTTGGATGCCTTTGTGACCACCAACTTTGCTGTAGCGGTTTTTATTCCCGTTCCCCTTTATCTTCATCTTCTTCTCCTTTGCACATTCCCACCATTACAGAAATCACTAAACGTCATAAGCCAAGCCGGCAATCTGTGCCGTGTGCTGGAGGACGGCCCAGATTCACAACCAGGCACCAAAACATTCAGACCAGCTGTGCATCTGGGCCGCCTGCACCCGCGACAGCCCATATGCGCAGCAGGTCGTAATTTTTCAGTCACCAGTCACAGATCTGGACCATCCTCCAGCAACCAAGAATCTGGGCAATCCGTGCATGCACTTGGTCCTGATAGCAGGCCAAAGTCGGTCCTGTTCGTTGCTCGAACTTGGTCGTGTCGCTAGTTGAGGGCTTCTCCGATCATGGCAGGCTCWSGTGAGTTACATTTGYTTACSKMWCTCTCTCTCTCTCTCTCTCTCTCTCTCTCTCTCTCTCTCTCTCTCTCTCTCTCTCTCTCTCTCTCTCTCTCTCTCGCCCTCCTCTCGCCCCYCCGCCGCAGGCTTTTTTTTTTTTTCCTATTCTGATGCCCAAGCTACGCCGAAAGGGGGAGGGGGAAGAGAGAGAGTCTGGGTCTGGGTTTGGTTCTGTTTCAGGGTCTGGGTATGGGTCTGGGTATGGGTTGGGGTTCTTGATTGGGGTATGTGGCCTGGGCTCCGAGTTTGGTGTCTGAGGTCCGGGTCTCCATCGGGGTCTGTAAACGCCGCACCCCCACCTCTTTCTCTCTGGATCTGGGGTCTGAGGTCTGGGGTCAGGCGTCAGGGGTCTGGGGTCAGGGGTCTGGGATCAGGGGTCAGGGGTCAGGGGTCAGGGGTCAGGGGTCAGGGGTCAGGCGTAAGGGGTCTGGGATCAGGCGTCAGGGGTCTGGGGTCAGGCGTCAGGGGTCTGGGTTCTGGGGTCTGGGGTCTGGGGTCTGGGTCTGGGTCTGGGTCTGGGTCGGGGTCTGGGGCTGGGGCTGGCGTCAAGGGTATAGGCCTGGGCCGGGGTCTGGGGACTGAATCTAGATCTGGGGTGTGCATCTGGGTCTAGGGTCTCTGGTTTCTCCATCTGTCTTTAGATCTGGACCTTCGGTTTGGGTGTAGGTTCTGGACTGGTGCCCGGGGTCTGGGTTTGGGTTTGAGGTCTCAGGTCGGCCGGCGTCTGGGTCTGGGTGTGTGGCCATACCTCCGCCCTCTCTATCTCTCGCTCCCTCAAAATTCTGCTACAACTCTCGATCTGGGTCCGGGTCTGAGTTCCAGGTCTGGGTCTGGTCTAGGCCTGAGTCTGGATCGGGGTCTGGGTTCGGCCATACACCCGCCCTCTCTCTATCTCTTCGTCCCTCTCCATGCTGCCACAGCTCTCGATCTGGATCCCGGTCTGGGGTCCAGGTCTCTGGTCTGGAGTCTGGCGTCTGGGCCCAAGGTCCGGGTCCTACTTACGGATCTGAGTCTTGAGTCCGGGCTCTGGATGAGGGTTTGGGTTTGGTATCTGGCGTCTGAGAGGGTTCAGCCATCGACAGTGTTTCTAATAATAATAAACAGGTGAAAAAAAAAAAAATAATAATAATAATAAACAGGTGGGACCCCACTACCAGAAATGCATGCATCACCCACCAAAATTTTTCGACTGCGGGCAAAGCCGCAACCGCAGTAGCCATCTGCCGTCTTCACCGGAATAGAACGCCCGGTCATTAAAGCTGTATTTGGTGGAACTTTCAGTCCAGATACGGCAATAATTACCGGGCGTTCTATTCGGGTGAAGACCGTAGTATAAAATTATAAGCGTGTGTTTCAGTGCTCCGTCTACCCGTCTTCCCCCGAACACAACGCACCCTCATTTTGACTGTATCGGGCCAGAAACATGCCTTGCATACGTTCATTTTCAGGGTGCGTTATGTTCGGGGGAAGACGGTAGTTGTCACTCAGTTGCTCAACCCAAGCGCCTCAGGAAAACATACAGAAGGTGGGCGAGGGGAGGGGTCGGCTGGGAAAGGCGGGGAAAGGCGGGGGGCGGGGGGCGGCGGAGGCAGGGGAAGAAGTGGGGGCTCACAAAATTACCAGACACCCTTCCTTCGACAGGGTCATGGCAGATATCAGGGTCGGGACGCTCGACATGCGACTTCTTGAGGCCATTACCAATGGTATCCCGGCACAGTTCCGTTTTACCTGCTGCTTACTTACTGAAGCTCCCCTTCCAAAAATTATTTCGGGGCCTAAAAATTATTACTACGGTAGTAATAATTTTTATTACTACCGTTCGAAAAATAATAGCGTTAATGAATGAATGATTCTTCTAAAAAAATAATAATAATAATAAATAAATAATAGCACACGTTCGAAACCAACTCCCCCCTCCTACCCTTCCCCCCTCTCCTTCTGATTTACCACATTTCTGCTGCCATGGTTTTTTTTTTTTTTTTTTCCTTAAACTTAATTCCATTATAAGCTGCCATGGTTTTGCTGAAATCCAAAATGGTTTCTTGAAATGTCTTTCTCCCAGGGGGAGGGGAAGGGAAGGAAGAAAATACAAGGTCAGCGCGGCTACGCCCGCACAGATGGAACAAAAAGAACACATCAATGAGATATCCCGGGTCCAAATGTACTCTCTCTCTCTCTCTCTCTCTCTCTCTCTCTCTCTCTCTCTCTCTCTCTCTCTCTCTCTGTGTCTGAAAACAGCTTGACAAAAAACCTGCGAGAGATTGGTGCTTTCGGAGTCATGCAATGTCAAAATTTAAATGTCAAAATGCAAATGTCAAAATTTAAATGTCAAAATGCAAATGTCAAAATTTAAATGTCAAAATGCAAATGTCAAAATTTAAATGTCAAATTCAGAAGCAGGTAACCTGTGTTATAAATACAAACAAATTTTTAATTTTTAAATTTCACTCCTGGGGGGCTTGGCCAAATTGCGAATGAGGAACTCTCTCATTTGGTGTGTGTGAGGATCATGTCATGACAGAGAGAAAGAGAGAGACGAAGGTATTTGTTTTCCATGTCATTTTTTCTCATTTGTGGGTGCCCAACAAATGTTTTTTTTTTTTTTTTTTTTTGGGCCAACAAATGTTTTTATTTCCCGCCTTTTTGGAATTCATGAGTGCTCCCATTTTCTTCCACGTTAGAGATTCTGCTTTCTGCAGGCCCCTCAACAACCACCTCCACCCCTTTTCCCTCAACGACCATCTCCGCGCCAAAACCAGAGTTGAAAGCGGAGGGCAAAGCTCTCTCTCTCTCTCTCTCTCTCTCTCTCTCTCTCTCACACACACACACACACACACACACACACACACACACATATCTGTCTCTTATACACATCTAGATGTGTATAAGAGACAGCTCTCTCTCTCTCTCTCTCTCTCTCTCTCTTTCTCTCTCTCCCCGCCCCCCCTGGTCGCTTTTCTCCCTTTCTTCCTTCTCCATTGCCTCCCCCTTACGCCTGTTCAACTCCATCCCGATCTTCCTGCCACCGGATCCCAAGGAGAGATCCGGATCTCTCCTTTTCCCAATCCTCATCTCTCCTTGTCCTGTGTCTGTCATCTCTTCCTTCTCTTCATGTCGTCTCCACTCCTTTCTCTCCTCCGTTGGGATCCCCTTCGAGCCCCTACTCCAGTTCTCCACGTGGACCCTGGGGATCTGGTTTGCACTTTCCTCTGTTCTCTCTCTCTCTCTTTCTCTCTTCATTACTCTCCTCCGTCCCCTGCATATCCACATTCACCCTATCCCTACTCCGGTCCTTCGTCATTAATACTGTCATTATATTTCTCTCTCCTTTTCTTACAACCTGTTCCCCTCCCCTCCCCCCTCCCCTCCCCCCTCCCTCGCACTGAGCCCCTCTCCATGCCTTCCAATCTCTTTTCTTCCCCCCTTGTCCGGACCCCCTTCCACGACCTGCACTCCTTACCCTCTTGCCATCCCGATTGGCTGACATCCCGACCTTCTCTCCGTCCCGATCCCACATCATCCTGACCTTCTCTCCGTCCCGTTCTTTCTCCTGCACTCGTCGGTCCCCTCATCCTCACCCTGATTGGCTGACATCCCGACCTCTCCGTCCCGATCCCACATCATCCTGATCGCGCCCCGCGCTACCAATCCGCGCACCCCATCCCCTCCGCCTTCACAAATTGGGTTCCCGACCTACATCCTCCTTCCATTTTACTTCAAAAATCTCCCCCTCACGTCTTTTCCCCCCAACGCGCCCCAACCCCAGAGCCTCCTTCACGCCGGCATTCTTACCTTGCATGCTTCACCCCCATTTGGTCGCCCTGACTCTCCTTCTCCTTCCTCTGTCGCAACATCCCCGTCCCGACTCCCGACCGACCAAATGCCGACCGTCTCATTGTCCCGATCCCGCATCCTGACCCTTCCCCTTCCTCCTTCTCCTCCTACTCCAGCCCCTCAAGATTTTGATGGCGACCATCTCCTCTCTCACCGTTCCTCCATTCCCGGACGCAGGCCACTCACAGTCTCCTCCCTGCCCGACCAGGCTCCTGACCTCCCCCTACTGTTCCTTATCCCCTTGCGTCTCCGCATTCACTGCAAGACCTCCGCCGGCTCTTTCTGATAGCACCCGCGCACAAATCCTGCCCCGCTTGCCGCGAAGCACCCCCTCAAACACCGGAGTTGCAGCCCTATGGATGGATGGAGGGAGGGAAGGAGGGATGTCCGTAGGGAGGGAAAGAGAGGGAGAGAGGGTGCACTTCGCCACGACGCGGGAACCCACCTATTTCGTTTTGGGGCCGAGTGTGAACGGAACTCTCCACCGCTTCACGCACAACACCGCAGACACAACAGACACACAAAGAGAGAGAGAGAGCGAGAGAGAGAGAGAGAGAGAGAGAGAGAGAGAGAGAGAGAGAGAGGGTGCACTTCGCCACGCCGCGCGAACCCACCTATTTCGTCTCGGGGTCACCCGTTTCACGCACAACATGCCCGAAAAGAGAGAGAGAGAGAGAGAGAGAGAGAGAGAGAGAGAGAGAGAGCAGGCCCGACCAGAGTCTGGACTGCGCGGAAACGGGTGTGCCGAGGTGCACGCTCTAGCGGGGGGGTTCTGGGTAGCGCCAAACCCAGTCTACACTTTGCAGCCAGGTGCCTGGGGGTTTACCCGAGTGCGTTTTGTCCGTAGCCGAGGATTGTGGAAGGGAGAACCGGTCGTTGGGCGGGTACTGGTAGCGGGGATCGGGGATGGTCGTTGCGAGGGCAAGCAGATTTGGGCGGGTAACGGCAGCCGGGATCGGGGATGGTCGTTGCCAGGGCAAACAGATTTGGGAAGATGGGTGAAAAGGGTGGGCAAGATGGGTGAAAACGTGTGGGCGGGCTCATTGCGGGGCCTTGGTGTCCGTTTCGCGGGGAAGTGCTCTATGGAGGGTTTTTTCCCTTCGTTCATCTTTTATGGACCTACCGCGAGGGCGCGGGGGCGCAGCCCGTAAGCGTGTAGCGGATGTGAGGCACAGAAGGCGGGGGAGGGATATGAGGCCGAAGGCCCGTCACAGTCTAGATAATGGGCCAATAACAACTAAGGGGAGGCCCAGTGGTAGCCATGGCCCAATAGTAGCTAAGGGGAGGCCCAATAGTAGCTAATAATGAGAGGCCCAGTAGTGGCCAAGGGGAGGTTGAGGGAAGCACGGTCCACTCACTGAAGGTGGGGAGATTCTTGTGGCCCAGGAGCCGTGAAGGGGAAGCCCAGGGGCACCGTCCCGTAATCAGGGGTGGCAGTTGGCTGGTGGGAAGATCTGCTTAGGCTTTCATATTTCCTAAAAAAAAACAAAGGCCAGCAAATAGGCTTCCACAGTCCAGGTATGGCCACAACAACCCTCTCATTCATAATTGGACTGCTAGCCAACTTTTGCCGGCTCCACCCACTATGAGCAAGGCAGCCCAAAACGAAGCATCCATCCACTGTTGACATCAGGATATGCCACTGTGCTATACACTACCGTCTTCCCCTAAATTGTAATGCACTTTGATAATGGATGTATACAAGCCATATCTCCATCCAACTGCACCCAAAATGAGGGTGAAAGACGGTAGCTCACCTGCAGCATGTCTCACAATTAAAGTCATTTAACAAGATGCAATGCGAGTCAATAGCTCCTATGCCACTGGGACCAAAAGTTGTGGCATGTGTGTCATATTGGGAATGAAATGCAAAATCTAGCTCACATGAGACAGTGCAAAAGTCAGATTTTCTAACACACAAAATACAATTTGATAAACTTAGCACTCCATACTCTTTTCATTTCAACAGGTTGTAGGGACAATTTGATAAACTTAGCAATCCAAATAATACAAAAGTGGAATGGTACAAATACATCAATTGCAGGCAAGGCACACTCTTCAGACCCTACTTCCCCAGATCTATTTTCTCCGCTAAGAAGATCAAATGAATGAGCAAAGAGGCTTAGCTCATTCTGATATTGACATCATACGTATAAATGTCAATTAGTACAAAGAACCGAGTATAAAAAAATTGTTTATTCAATGGGATACGATAATAAATGGCTTGATATAGTGGAAATACAAGGAACGCATATGCTAGATACAAAATCTTACGGAGCAAAAACAAATCATATATGGGCATATACCTCCATCGCTCCCCAAATTCAAAGGAGTTATTTAACGAGAGTGACAATATAGCCTTCCCCTTAATCTTAGGTAGTATTTGCTAAGAAAAGAAAACCATTGCTGAAACATTATTTTAACAACAACTTTTCAAAAGCAATAAACGTATAGAATAAATTATGATTTTTAATACTATTTTTTTTTTTTTACACCTCGAATACAACAACGAAAGGTACACAAGCTAACGGAGGTCGAAAAGACACTCCTTGCGTCACTTCCATCATTGTTGACCCAGTCTCTGATACAAAGTCGAACAGTTCCACACATAAACATAAAATGATAAATGTTATAAAAAAATGAGTCATTAAAAACCTTAAGACTTTAATTTAAAAAAAATAAAATTTGGCTCTACCATTGAAAATTTCATAAAGTAAACGTCTCATCATATATACAAGTTATCTAAGAGGAAAATAATTTTGAGTTTTTATTATTATTTTTAATCATTATTAATCTACAGGATTAACAAAGATTCATGTCAAATTGAAATATATTAGTTAACATCTTGTTGATCGATAAAAAAAAAAAAAAAAAAAAAACGGTATTGA